TATATGGACATCAAAATTGTTTCTAACAATTCAAACTAGAAATTTGTATGATATAAATGCATACCTTATGAAGTTTTCCAAATATCATTTGTTTGATGTGAAATATTCATGATTTATATTGAGTTCAAAACCATGCATAATTTGAGTTCATAATTACTAATATTGCTTCATTGATTGATTCCCTGTTTTCCAGTGATGACTTTTTCAAAATATCAGTATTGGTACAGTACAGTATTTATGAAATGGAATAATCAGAGTAATGAAAAGAGAACCTTCAGTAAAGCCATAAGGTTTATAAAAATGAATATTAATTATATTAGTTGATAGTACTTCTCCTACTACACTATTTATACCTATTCAAACAGGCCTTCTGAAGTCTCTCATGATTTTTCTTCATAGAGAGAGTGATGGGTTCAGGGAGTGAGGCAGGGGGAAGGGGGAGCAGCGTAAATTCGGCAGCTCACATGTGAGCTCCGGCGAGAAGTCCACTCACGCTTATTCGAAGTAGCAAGATTCATTGCCTAAGCGTAGTCCAAGTAACACGAGGAATTTCTACAGCTGTTAACGGGCTAAAATATTCGACAGAATCTTCCGTAAAGATGAATGTGTTCTGATTTGAATGATACATTTAAAGACGAGTATCACATAGTCGAAACGAGTTTAACAACTTTCAACTGCTGGTACTCTGCTCCTATTTTTGAAATAAAATAAGTACTGTAAAATGAAAATCAGGTACTGTAAGTTCAGTCTTTATGGATATTGCCGAGGCTCAAAAACATTCCGCGAATAAAGAACAGTAGTACAGTATTTAATTCAATTTAAGGGAAATTTAAATTCCTTTGTATTCATTTTTTAACGATGGAGCCTCGCGAAATTAAAAAATGTCAATAAACTTAATTGCGAAATGTAATACATTACAAAGATGCGTAATGTACACCAATCTTGTAAATGTTCTTCCCGGGGATTGCGTTCGGAGGAAAGAAGGGAGATTCTTGGATCATTCCATATGTACGCACTGCGCATGCCTTGGATGTGACTTCGAAATCGAACGAGGTCGTGAGCGGATGAACTGTGTACAGTTCCTCGACGTATTCACATGCAGGAACGGTTCGTCGTGGAGAAGTTGTCAAGAAGAAAAAATTTATTAATTCGAAGCAGTACTGAAATTCTGAAGCATACTCACGCTTTATGGATGCTGCGCGCTGGAGAAGTTTGAAATCAAGTGTACGTGTTGCCCACTAAAATTCTGCGTAAGAGGAGGAAGCATGTCAATTCGTAAAAATTAAGTGAGTTCTTTTTTCGATCCATATTTATTTTCCGTTAGTGTTGATTCGGAATGATAATCCGTTATTCAGTACTGTATATACATTGTATTCCTTCCATATATATAGGGTGTGACGTGATATACAGGCTAGAGTCACAGCATTCGCTGAGGTTATCGTGATGATATGTGCTGCTTTCCTGTCGAAGGATCCATCGTGCTTGACGAGTGGTTTTGTGTTGTATGAGGACACTTTTGAAGCAACATTTCGAGAGACAATCAGATAAGACACGTGTCTCTTATCTGCCGAACATGGTGCAGTATTAATTTTTCTTGATCATCGGGCTCCGCGCATTCAGTGTATGCGAATGCGTCTGATTTTCGTAAGACCACTGGTGTAGACCATTTGTGCGGTGTCATCTTTTTTTTATGGACGTCCAATGTGTATTTTGTCATTTTTGCCACTACGTAAATAAGGTTTATGTGGAAGTGCTGTTTTTGATATGAAGTTATGGCGATCTAAAGGAATCGTCCGTGTTCACGTATTCAAATTAAAGTGCTATATTTATTGAAAAGGATGATTTTCATGAAAATTTTTCGGGTTTCCAGAATTACTTCCTTGACCGGAAGAATTTGTGTAGAAGGTAATTTTTTAATTGAAGTTCTGGCGTTGAAGTATTTAGTCCATGTATTTTGTTCTCATATTCGAATTGAAGTGACATTATTGAAAATAATCATGTATTTTGAAGAATTGCTCGGGATTCCCAACTCACTTCTTAATTTTAATTTGTGCGGCTGATGCTGTTGAGTCATCAAAGCTGTGAGATGATGTTTTCGGTGCGTAATCCTTGTTGGTTATATTTTTGTGTAACAATATAGAAAGATTGTTAATATTTTTCCCCTTTTTAATACAATATTTTGTATTAAGAAGGGGACAATTCTGTTCGTTAATCTGGGATAATTGTCGCTATAGAAGTAACCTCCTGTAAAATCCTCCTAAAATAACATGATGCAATCAGCCAGATAATAATGACGCTTTGTCGGGGATATTGACAAAAATATACCAATCATCGAACATGAGTCTGCGTTGCGCGAACCGAGTGTACCAAAATATTTTCGTGGATAACTAAACCTCTTTTTCGACAGGAAGGGCGGATTCTTGTGGAGAGAAATGGCGGGACGTTGTTTTCTTGGATCATCGTTCGTCTTGAATAAATAATTGTGAAATCGAGCTAATTTTATGACTTACCATCATCATATTTAGAAGGGTTTTTATTGCAAGGATTAGGATGACGGATGTGGATGATTCTTTTCCAGAGGCTCTCAAACTTGGAAAGGGGGTGAGGTGTTGGTGATGTTCGTGTCTATTTTTTAATGTATTAAAAATTATGTTCTTATTTTTCGGATTTTAGCCTAGAAAATCTTCTCTTGTTATGGCGGAATCAGCAGCTCAAGTTCAGCAAGACGACGAAGTAATAATTTAATCATCTCTTGATTCACCAAATATTCACCGTGTATTAGGTAGATTGCAATAATATTGATTTATGAAAACTTGTTTTTGGCTGGATTTTCGAAAGGGTTCGCTGGAAGGACTTCTGGATCAAGTTGGAGCTTTTGGCAAATGGCAGAAAATCGTCTTGTTCATGATCCTCTTGCCAGCATCCTTGCCCTGTGGAATTCATGCTTTCAACCAAGTGTTCATGCAGTTGCCTGTTGACCATCATTGCAGCATTCCTGGATTGGGACTGAATTTCAGCATGGAGTCTAACTTAATCCCTCGTGACGGTAAATTTGGGTTAATTCCTGCTGGAACTTCGGAAGTGAGACAGTTGAAACTCGATCACTGAGTCAAACCTTCTTAAGTTAGATATATCCTTGTTTGTCTATTTTTTTTTAGTCCCTGTCTGAATAATTCCCTCAAGAATAATTTAATATTGAAACTTATATGTTCCAACTCAGATGCTTCCCCAGCAATTAAATCTCTATATCGTTCAAAATTTGAGAGGCTTTTTTTCTGGGCAAAGGAATTGAATGAGTAATAGAAATAAAACTGTATGCTTTTCAAGCAGGAGTTAGCGGCTAAATGGGTAAATGTACCCGTTGCCCCATCCAAGTTCAGCCTTGTTCCAAATCATTTATTGAGCACTTGAATAGACCAAGAATGTCGCCAATTTGAACTGTCTGTAATTCTTAATTTCTCCCATCAAATGTTATGGTTTCCCGAAGTCAAAAACTTACGTATAATAGCAAACTTGTTGTGAGCCCCTCCGAGGTTCGACTGCTGAACGCTTTCTATTCATGGATTGAAATAAGGTGATGGTAGGAGTTCATGCAAGGAATTTGCACTTGATCCTGGAATATTATTGCAAATGTGGGAAAATGGAGAGTTGAACAATTCTGTTCAGCTGCCAACAAGACCTTGTTCTGCTGGTTGGCACTTCAATGGCATCCATTCAATTGTAAAAGAGGTATTTTCAATATCAATTTTCTTTTTATTGATGGTGATTGTCAACTTTATTGATCTTTTTGTGCAGTTTGATCTTGTTTGTGACAAGGAGTTGTACCCAACAATTGCTCTTGCCTTCAATAACTTTGGCTCATTAATAGGGGTTGTATTCTTTGGTTTCATATCTGACAGGTATGTGATCTGATTATAATTGGAAAGTATAATAATCACGAGTTTATCAACAATTTTTCTCCCCTGAAATATGTGTAGGCATGGTCGAAAGAAATCATTTTTCTTGTGCTTGACTGCTGATATTATTGGTGGACTGACAACTTATTGGGCAACTAGCTACATTTGGTTCACTGTTGGAAGAACTTTGCAAGGATTATCCAACCCAGCCATTTGGCAGATTCCTACAATAATGGGTATTTTCTGTTTGTACAGCTCGACAAAATCATTGGAAAATGTTGAATGATTGATTGAATGAGCAGGGATGGAAATAGTGGGTGGAAAACAGCGGGCCTTCGTGTCAATGATGGCATGTTTTTACTTTAATATCAGCCTGATCATAGCCACTGGATTGGCCTATTTGTTCCCATTTTGGAGGGATTACGCATTAGCAACCATGTTACCTTCAGTTCCAGTTTATTTGTTGTGGTGGTGAGGTATTTTTTGTATTCTTTCATCGGTGAGTTCGTATATACCGTGTGCTTGACTATTCCATCAGGGTAATGCCAGAATCTCCAAGATGGCTGCTTGGGAAAGGGAAAAATGAAGAAGCTCTTAAAATGTTCAAGAAGATCAACAGGGTAAATGGTGCCAAGATTGAAGAGGAGTACCTTTCAAGAGTCCTGGTGAGTGTGTGAAAGAAAAGAAAATTGCAAATAATATGATTCGGGATTATACTGTATATATACTGTACTGTGTATTATCATGGTATCTTTGAAATTTAATTTGCAAATACAGATCCTTACAGAACAAAATTTTTAGTAACACAAAAAAGGCTCACATGAAAAAAATGCAAAAGAATAATAACTCAAGTTTCCAGAAAATAAATGAACGAAAGTTATCACCATCATGAACTTCTTAAATGTTTGCCAGGGCAAGGTACTGTATATAAAGTAGATTCACGATATTATTGTAAGAAATTAAAAATCTCCGGCGTCAAAAATTTTTTTTTACCTCAGAAACTGCAGCATGCCATGCCTTTTTGTTTAATGTCTTCGTGTCCTTTTCTTTAAAAAAATTAAATTAATTTTTGAATTAAAATAAGAACTATAAATGTTCCACAATCTCAATTATTACAGAAGAGGGCAAGCGCATCTGAAAGGAAAGCAAGTGAAGTAGGCAAAGGAAAAAGCTATTTGGATCTCTTCAGAACTCCAAACATCAGGAGGAAAACCATGTTGATAAACTTCATCTGGTTGGTAACGGTATCAAAGTTTCAAATTTTTTATTAATCAATGATGCAATTATTTTCTAGGTTGGTGAACCAAATGGTCTACGTAGGTTTGAGCTACTATGGTCCATCAATGACGGCCAATCCCTACCTTGGATTTTTGCTGTCTTCACTTGTTGATTGGCCTGTGTTCCCACTCATCATGCTAGCTTTGGATAAAATTGGAAGAAGGAGTTCAAAGAGCATTTCTATGATCCTAGGAGGAGTTTGTGCCATAATAACTGTTGCCATTCCTTCAGGTAAGTTCGAGAAACAATTTTTGTTTTGTTTTATGATGAGTTTTTCTTTTGCAGGAACTGGTGTCCTGGTGCTGTATCTGATTTCAAAGTTGACCATCAATGTGTCATTCCTAATTATTTACCCATTTGCTGGGGAACTATATCCAACTGAAGTTCGCGCTCTGGGATTTGCTTTAGGATCTTACATAGGATTCCTAGGAACAATTCCTATTCCATTTATAGTGCACTTAGTGAGTACATATACATATATATAGTACTGTACTGTGCTTCCTCCGAAGTCAGGTTATAAAATGTTACTCAACTATAATTTTGGCATAATTTTTCAGGGTACTGAAAACTTATTTGTGCCATTGATTATCCTTGGATGTTTGTCAACGGTTGGAGGCATTCTGACGCTGATGTTGCCAGAAACTTTGGGGAAGCCCATGCCACAGACAGTAGAAGAAGTGGAGAAGATATCTCAGGAAGACAATGCGTTCACAATCCTCGTGAGGAAAGGAAAATCGTTGTGCAATTTTGGTCTTTCTTCGGGTTGAATATCTCGCTTTCAATATGAGATTGCTTTACTAGGAATGAGTTATTCATGCATAAGAACTGGAAGATCATCACTATGCAATACTGTGTTATAGGAGGTATCATCTGAGGCGGGTTGCGCGCGTGCTGATTTGCTCTTTGATTCCGGGTTGTTTTCTCGTTGGCAGTTATGGCGGACTGCTTGGTTGAAAGTTCATTAAAGCTTGGTACTCAATCAGAAAATGCCGGTTATTAGTTCTTCTCCAAATTAATTTGGGTTGGCCATCCTTCTTGTTAGCGGAACGGTGAATGTACACAGCTACGCCGAACTTCATCTCAAACGTGAACGAAATGAAGTGCGATGATCGGTCGAAACTTCTGCTTTTGTAATGAAAATAGTTGGAAAAAATTCAGAAGAATTGGTTGGAATTTTAACGCAGGTTATCTTGCGCCGAATTCGGTGTATTGTGGTCGAGAGAAATGCGTGACGTGCCCAAAATGCATTGGTTAAGGTTAGTTCCGGTTTATGTGATCCTCCTGGTCCACCTAGCAAGTGCCCATTCCAAGGAGAAACCGATAACTATAGACGAAGACAACTGGAAACAGGTGTTGGAAGGAGAGTGGATGCTCGAATTCTTCGCTCCTTGGTGTCCTGCGTGCAAAAGTTTGCAATCGACCTGGGAAACCTTTGCGGAATGGGGACCAGACCTTGGAATAAAGGTAAGGAACGAGAATGATCTCCTCATGCGTAACCTGGAGGATGGTTTTCAACGACTTCAGCCTGCTGAATTAATAATTTCGATCTCACGCATCCTGTGTTTAAAGGTTGCTCATTGTGACGTGACGAAGGCTGCAGGTTTGAGCGGCCGTTTCTTGGTGACAGCCTTGCCAACTATATACCACGTCAAGGATGGTGTGTTCCGACAATATCAAGGCTCACGAGACAAAGATGCGTTCATTTCTTTCGTTGAAGAAAAGAAGTGGGAAAAAATTGATCCCGTACCGTTCTGGCAATCCCCTGGTTCAATTCACATGTCCATTGTCTCAGAATTCTTCAGGTATGGTTGCTTTCTTTTGTGAAGCTTTCTGTTGCAGTTAGTGATACAACCGTGAAGACGTTTCTCAATTTTCGATCCTCGTTCAATTCTTTTTCTCAGGTTTTCAAATTATCTCCGAGATTTGCACAAAGTTCTCGTGGAAGACTACGGCGTCACGACGTGGGGTTCCTATGCTTTGTTTGGTGTATCCACCATAATCGTCGGGGCATTATTGGGATTGCTGCTTGTGTGCATAATCGATTACGTGAATCCACCCAAACCGGTTGAACCGTTCGTTGTGCCGAAGCAAACTCCTGCTTCTGACGAAAGCTCTGATGACGCGTCAGTAACGCAGGAGTCCGGTGATGGCCAAGGAGACGTCCACGATACGTCGAATGATGAGGAAGACGACGGTGAAGATGAAGATGAAGACGGATCCGCAGATGACTCTACTGCCGCAGCCGCCCCTGCGGCCGCCTCTGGTGATGCTCAGCAGCCCAGACGCCGCCCCCGGCGCGCGGACTGAAATAATTCGAGCATTCCGAAAAAAAGCTTATTTTTAATCTTTGTCGGCCCCTACCCTGATCCCCAGTTATGTTGCACGTGGAGTTGATGTGTCTGGTTCCTCTTACCAACTGTTTCGTTTCCCCGATTTCCAGTGTCCAGATTTGCCGAGGAAATTTAATTTCATGTATTCTCGGGGACATCTCACAAATTTCTGATGGACGTCAGTGGGAGTATTTCGGCACTTGAACTGTTTCCAGCCTTGTCAATTGTCAACCGTTGAGTCAAATTCCAATTGAATGCGTAAAATACCGAAATTAGAAAGAAGAATTCGAACATCCCCACTATTTCGCGATGAAAAATGCTTGAATTCCTCCACCATCATTCTCGGTAATCACACCTAACACATAACTGAGTGCCTAACTAATTTATCTGAGCCTAATCTAACATCTAAAATTCTTAAATTTTATTTTATTCATCGTTGCTACTGGAGTGCACGAAAACGGAAAGAAATGTCTTTTTTTAAGCCGGGAATAGAAGGTGCTTTGCCTGCAGAATATTCATTATATTTTCAGATGGCTGTTAGACTCTCCATCATGTCCGAGTGTCCATTTCCGTATGTCGAAGGACGATTTTTTGTTGGATTCAACAACGTGTGTTTCTTTATCAAAGGTCTAGTGAATCTGATCGGAATGGCAGATCTTTCTGTTCGCGAAATTTTGAGAGATGAGTTACTTCGGAATGTCGCTGATAATTACTTTTATTTTGTGAGGCTTTTTGAAAGTTTCTAGATACTGGAAAACGGGGACATGTTAAAGGGGTTTTAAAAGAAGCGACTATCATTTGTAAACTAGTCACCTTTTCCACATGATCCATCCCATTGACGACAGACGTGATACGCCAAAAAAGGGCCGCATGCTAAGAGGTGTGAAAGTGGCGTCTCAGTTCTTAACGCCGGGTCCGCTTGTACTTGTTTTTTTTGTTTTTTTTTTTTGTGTTGCTCAACAGTTCGTAACATTGTGGAGGCATTTGTTTTCCCTCCCTTTTCAATGATCTGTCCTTCAGAGCTTTTCGGACTCGCGTCTTTTTTTTTTTTTGTGTGTCTAAGTGCGCGATTAGGCAGAGGCGAAGACTGGAGTTATAATTCCGAGATGAACGGTTTTTTGAATCTTAATTTCTGTCGTCATTTCGGCTTCAAGTGATGGAAATATCGAATCGGCTTTTTGATGGTAAAGAGTTGCTTGTTGATTCGGCTTTGTCTTTGTCGTTCACTTGATTGGAACATTCCTGAAACTGTCGGAAAAATGCCGTGTTTCCTCGGAAATATGACCTATTTATAAAAAGAACGCATCTTAGACACTTTCGTTAGCGCATGTGATTCCCGCTATACGATAATTACGAAAATGTGATGATTTGCGTGGAGCGAGGTACATGTACTGATTAGGTTTTGTGTCAAAGGAATGGTGGAAGAGTAAGAAAAAGTAAAAATTTTTATATGTCCAATTGTGCGGAACATGTGCGTGATTCCCCGAAATTATGAGGGGTATCGCATGAATAACCCTGTATGAACCCTATCCGAAGTCGAAGCCCAAATCAGTGGCATTTTGGATGGAGAAAGAACTTTAATTTAAATTTTAAATCGGCTGATGAGAGATTTGGCCCATTAGTGTCCGAAGTCTATGATTGCTTTAACTTCTCATGATGCCAATATATTTGCGAAAAGTAAAACTGTTTCATCATTCCTCAGTAGCGTAGTATTCGTTTGTGTGTATTTCGAAAAAGAAAATTGTTCTAATACTTTCGTATTCATGGGGAAACACGGTAGTAATATTGCTCCTGAAAGACACATTAAAAAATCTGAATGATTTCAGATGGATGTTCTGAAACCTCGCTTACTAATAACGAGGGGATTCAGGTTTCGTGTTAATCGTAGTGCTGAACCCCAGGGCGCATCTTACGAGCACGACGAGGTTGAAAACATAGACGATTTTTATTCAAAAGAAGACTTGGACTTGGACGAAAACAATGGGAATTACGACGTGGAAGTGAAGCAGGTGTATGATGGGAAATATGAAGCTCGAGTTCCTGTTCCTTCAGTGATGCTCGGCAGTGTCGTGGGGAAAAAAGGCGTGACCAAGCAGAGGATCGAAAAGGAAACCCAGTGTCAGCTTCGCGTACCCAAACCAGGGGCCGAAGGGGATGTCGGTTAGTACTGTACAGTAATTTTTTCTGTTCATACGATTTATAGAACGAATTCGACTTGAAACCAATTATTCTAAGTTGTACAGTTCAACCGCAATAATTCGAACCTCTCTAATTCGAATTTTTTAAAATTCCCAGTGTGAATTTCCCAAGAAACAATTTGTTAATAAACTCCCTAACTTAAGGATTTGTCCCCTCCAAACCGCCATAACTCGAATTTTCTGGACGCCTTTTTGGCTATTCTCTTGAAAAGAGAAAACCAAGAAAAATGTAAAAATGTGATTTGAATGGAAGTGAAAGCCTATATTTGGCGAAATGAACTCTTGCCTCCAAATTCAGCATCATGTCAACTCAGACAGCCCAGAATATCACCAATTGAATTGTCCTTGAACTCTTTCTACCCCCCCCCCAACGCTCGTTTCCCTGACTGAAAACTTCCGTAACTAGAATTTATTAACTGATCACTTGAAGTTCAACTTGAAGAGGTTCGACTGGGTTTCAATTTTTCATTTCTTCGAATTGAAAAGAAGGTCTCACCAGACTCGACCTGCGAGGTTCAGTTCGTCCTCTTGCGGTTTCCTTGTCGAATGAATGATGGAGACAAGCTTTAAAATTTTCATCACAGCTATTTATATAAATTGGAGGTCGATTTTAAAACGCACCTGTCAGGAAATATAGTTCACATGCCAAAACTTCTGTCGTTCGAAATGCTTCGAAAATGTCTCTCTTGCAGTGATTACCTCATCGGAAAAGTCCAACGTCTTGGCCGCCGGAAGAAGATTATTGATGCTTGTGGAAACGAGTCGACACAAGCTGAAGTTTACGCATTTCGTATCCTTGCCTTTGAGTGGAAGCGAAGCTTTGTTCTCCAGAGTATTAGATTTTCAAGAAGCTGTTAGAAAGTGTTACTTGCCAGAAAAAATCGACGAAAGGCTGTTTTTGAACATGCGGAAGATGCATTTAACTGTGTTGGTGCTAACCCTGTTGGATGATCGAGAAAGACAGTTGGCGATGGATTTGCTGCATGAATGTTTCTCCAAGAAAATCCGGTAAGATTTTGATCTTATGATTTTTCAAAATTAAATTATTGCAAATTGTCAGGCTTCATTGTTGTGAGTTTATCCGACAATGCCTCATTGTTTTCAACTTTAAAAAAATACATAATTCGGTTAATCAGCCTGTGTTTGTCTTTCAAGGACGTTCATGCCTCAGCGTTTGAATTGATCCTGTTGTATTGTAAGATTAACATCCGCACGTATTTTTTTTTTTCGACGTGCAAATCCTCATTTTTTCTGCGCTGCTGGGTAGATATCGCCTGAATTTATTAAAATTTTGTTAGTCTCCGGTTCTAAAGGTCAAGATTGTTCATGTATGCTTTCCTCCAAGAATCCAACTATCTAAGGACAGAATCTGTCAAACTCTACACCTGATGTTGCTGAGACTAAATTAAATGTAACCGAATCAGTCTGACATCTTTATAAAAAGCAAAATGAAATCAATCAGTTGAGAACGGGTGGTGTCCAAGTAAAAGAAAGTTGAAATTCGAGCAACACACGATTAAAATTCATGTAAGTAAGAAGTTTATGAAACGTTTACATTTTGTTTTAGAATTTTACTCAAGGTCGCATAAGTCTCCTACTGTACTTCGAAAGATGATCGGAGATTGATGAAATGCTATTTTCTCAAAAACTTGAAAACTACCTGGGTTGAGATGAAAATTTTATTGGAACCGAGTGAAATTCGCATCTTCTTTTCTCGGGACTTGATTCCAACTAAATTCAAACGAAAATCTTTCATTTAAATACTGTAGTTATGATGTACAGTATTTTTTATTTCTTTTTTTTTCCATTAAGACCGATGCTTGCCGATGAAAACGGGATCAGGGTGCGACTCAAGGGCCTCGAAATCATGAATGACGACTGGTCGCAAGTGCAAGTGGTTTACGCGAAGTTGGAACCGACTTTAGATTCACTCGGTAGGGACGTTATTCAAGAGATGGCTGACGCCATTCAGAACCATTTTGAAGGTTCGGGTCTGGCACCAGAATCTCGATGTGCCCACGTGAAGCTCCACTTCTCAGTCATGAATTCGAAGAAGTTGGCGAAAGAAATGACCACTCAGCAGGATTCTTCTTGGAAACCGAGGCTTAATGATATGAAGCTTTTCGACGCCAAGCCGATCTATGAGGTACTCTTTTTTTTGCTCGGGAATTCATCGTGGAAGTTACTTTTCATTCCGCAACCTTCTTACGAGGGTTGATTGTAGAATTATTGATGAACTTCGATATTGTTTGAGGAAGTTCTTTGAATTCACGAAGAAATTATTAATCGCATCTTATCAACCAGCTCGACGTCGGGAATTTTTTTCCCGCTGTATTTATTTCTTGAAGTTCGCTAAGTAACAAAATTTGAGTTGGAATTTTCGAACCGTATTGGGATAAGGATGATATCGAGGTGTTATTTGCTGAGAATTTTCGTATATTACAGCGTTGACAAGGGAAACCTTTTGCTCACAAGTTGACAATCCAGGGCAACATGCACATTCAACTTCTTTGCCAAAAAAAAGATTGTAATGTGCTAGAAAATTTGCACTTTGAAAATTTTGTGTAATATGAATGATTGCAAATTGTTAAAATATTTGAGTTTGGCAGGTGAAAAGGTTTTTTTCTCTAAATGATGGGGTGAATTTCGAACTCTCCAATTCAATATGGATGAACAAAATTTGAATAAGTGCCCAGATGATGTTCCAACGTTGCTCTGGAAAAATGAACTTCATCTATCCATGAAAACTCCAGGTTGACGTGAACTTATGGAGCACCCCATGTATGTCGACCCGGAAACGTGGAATTCTCAATTTCTATGTAAAAAATATTTAAAAGATAGCATTCCACTTGAGAATATTTTCCATCGTGAAACTATGACGGCTAATGGAACATTGGAGACGTTTTGGACTAATCCAAAAATTTGTTCAAAATATTTTATTTTGCAGAATCTGTTGGATTTCGATTTTGGAGAAGTGCTCATCAGTCATATTCACCTCTCGATACTCCACACTGTTGGAGAAGATGGCTACTATCGGCCTTCGCTCACAGTTCCCATCAAGCCGTGAATCAAGCCGTACCTTGTCCAAATCCTCGAATCAGTTCCGAAATGAATTTATGGCTGTTCAAAGACTTTCGGCGAAAAGTTGTGAATCTGAAAGAAAAAATGCTGCTTTTCTTCGTGAACTGGTCGAATTTTTCCTGTTCCAGAACCGTTTTTCTGTGATAAATAAAAATAGAAACGAGTGCAATTATGGGTGTTGCGTTTTCCGCGGCAAAAAGGAAAGTGATGAGGTTCAATGTGGAAGAAAGGGCGTTCAAAGTCTTGGACTCTGCGAAACCCAAGCCTGCTCCTCATCACCCGTTGCCGAAACACATACGTGAGAAGGAGCGTTACGGTGAGTAAATCCCCATGTACTGTCTTAGTACTTGACCACCTAGTAAAAGTGTTATCAACTCAATTTTGGAAATAATTTGCTGAATATTTCAAACAATCTGTAAATGTTCCTGCTGAGCACATGAAAGTGACTAATTGACGGAGCACAAAACTGAACTGATGCCAAATTGTCTGGATTGAATCTAACCCTACCTGACTAATTTAAATGAACTAGTCTGACAAAATCAAATTGCTCAAATGAATAACCTTACAAATTATTACCCTAACCGAATCTAACCCAGCAACCTAGTGTAAATTACCCAATTCAACAAAACATATCTAATCTACTTCAGTATCCATTCAACTTGAATGTTTCTAATTTAACCTGACTCTACAAAAATATTCAAGAAACCAATAAAAAATGTTTTATAAAAAGAATTTTGTTGTAGAGAACCACTAGAACGTGTGGCGAAAATCATAATGGACAAAGAATCATTGTACAGAAACAATTTATGTAGACAAAATACTTTTAGATAGAGAGACCTGCTGCATTAATGACCTGGTTAAACACAATCTTAACTGAAATTGTGGATAGGAGTGAAGTTACTCATGAACTTCCTCATACCAATTGTGATCATTATCCAATCTTGCTCTTGGCGATTTTTGAACAACTGGTTTTCCCCTTGTTCTTACATGAACGTCCTTGGCCGAGCTATGAAAACCCCAGTTAGATTCAAATGAACGCTCATTCTATTGGTAGCTTTGAAGCAGTGTGTTTTTTTGCACACCTAGCAGGCTGAACTTGAATAGACTAGTTCCCTAACCTTTTTCCGAACTAACATAAGTTAATACTGTGCTTGACCAAATGATGTGAACAATTCACGAATAAATTATAATATTGTTGATGAAGAGTCAGCATTATCTGAGTGATGGTCGCATTGCATGAATAAATGCATGGAAATATGCAGTGATGGAGTAGCATTATGGAAGTTGAGCCAAAAGCCCCAATTTATCTAACTGGCATTGCGTTTTATTGGGATAGAACAATTTGTGTTCCACTCAAACAATAAAGCGATTAATCACAGTCTGCCACTCTTCCTAAGATAAGTTATCAACAGTACCGTTTCATGACATTTGAATTCTTTTTTCAGTCGCGTACTAGACCTACATTTAATCTTCGATCAGCTAATCTGCTCAATGTTCGGTTTTCTTTCAGTGGTGCAATCCGATAACAAGAACATCCACGAGAAGAATGAATCTTTGCACGAGCGCTTGAAGCCATTGATCATTAATTCGGAGCCTTATAAAAAGCCGGCTGAGGATCCCAACAGGCCGTTGCCGAAAAGTCGGGCTACGCTGGAAGAATTCAAGTATGGCCTGAAGGAGCCCGAAAAGGTGCCACCGGGTCGATTAACGATTAGATCAGCGATGGATCTTCTCGGGAAACACACGGAAAATCCTACTCAGTGGAATACTGAGGCCCTCGCCAAGCACTTTGTTCTCAAGCCAGAACTCACCCGTAGGTTTCTCTGCTTTCGTGAATCTGGAGTAACTAACAAATAAATTTGTAAATGGGGGTGGATGTTCTGTCAACCTGCTAGGGTTATCCCACTTGGGCGCGACCTTGATTGTTTCTAGATTGGGTGTGACTGTAAAATGAAAGTCTGGAAATAGTCCACGATGTTGAAAGGTTTTGGCATTTACTTTGGATTTTAAAAAAATTCAAATTTACTACATGATGAAATGTGAAAACTTTCCAGTTATGGTTAGAGTTCTCCACCCATGTCACGGAGTAGTGCAAATTTGTCAGGCCAGGTGACAATTTTAATTTATCCGTTGTTTTAACCATTATCTGAAATTCGGAAAAGATAATGGTAAAAAAAAAATTTTCTAATTTTTAGTTGGACTGAAAAACTTGCAACAGCACCCTTGCTGTGACATGGGTTGATAACTCTGGCCGTAACTGGAAAGTTTTCACTTATCATCATGCCGAAAATTGAAAATTTATTTTGAATCAGAAAGAATCCCAGAACTTAACAACATGGGCCAGGACATAAAGACATCCTGAGCTATATGAAAATTATGTTTACACTCATACCTTTAGAAATGACCAAAGTTGTGCACTAGTCCAACAACCTTTGTACCAGTAAGAGAAGGCTGTAAGAAAATGTACATTATTACCAACTCTTATTACCATAGTATTCTGTATTGAGTACCAAATTGCCTGTGAGTAAGATGCACACTATATTTTTTTTGGCTGAAATTTTGGAAATAATCCCATCCCCACATGATATGTGCCCCTTCCTTTTAATGCTTTCCAGTTCACACCAAACTTCATGTTTAAAACCCACCTTATTTCATTTTCTAACTTTGAGCCTTATTAAAAATTGAATTAAACTTTGATTTTCTGTGTTCCAAATGGATGCTACAATTATTAAAAGATTATTCCACATAAATGAAAGGAGGAATAATATGAAAAATTTACCCATCATGTTTCTTGTATGACTTCCACCTAATTTTTAAGAAATTTCTGCCAAAAATGTGTACCCAAATGTGACACGCACCTTGTTTTTTATACAATTTCTTTTAAAAAGAAGGTGTTAATGGTTCAGTATTGACAGTATGCCTTGAAGAAATGTGTGTTTTACACCTGCAAGTATCAAAGATTAATGATGCTTTATTTTTTAATTGCAGAAAATGTATTGGACAATTTCAAGTTGTTGCAAGTAGTCCAAATGGAGGAACCAGGCTACAAGGAAGGATCTGCTGGACCCAAAATTTCCCTGGCCCAGGCGTTAACTTTCAAACCGCCGGAACAGTTGACAGATGGATCAACGACGATGCCTTCCAAAGAAGACTCAAAATAACATGTTCTCCATCACAATTACGTTTTTAGTCAATGAAGTTTTTTGTTTCCTTCGTGCCAGAGGCTGCATTTTTTATTTTTAAAGACACTAAGGTTGAAGTTTCAAGACTGATTTTCGGTGAAGTTTTTTGTGGATTATAATTGACAGAGAAAATTAATGGAATGCTCGCGGGGAAGGCGGATGAGTTGAAACCACAGAAAGAGCTGAAATCGCTGAAGATTCCGAGGAAGTTCGTGTTTCGTAATGGAGATGGATTCACTGCCGAGCTTCACGTTAACGAAGTAAGTGCGCTGCAACTTTTATTTCTAATGTTGCAAAAAAATTTACCGATTTGTCAACGTCATTTTGAGCTTTGTTTTTACATGAGAAAATCTAAATTAAAACCTTGAAGTGGAGGCGTCCGCATCAGTTTTCAGACCACCTTCAGCAAGACGAATTCTCAGAAATTAAATTCAACATGAGCCAATAATGTCCAATATTGAAAATGTTTTGTAGATCATGCACCCGGACTTCGGGATGTACACTTGGCCCTGCTCAGTGATCCTGTCCCAGTACATCATCCACAATCGCAGAGATTTCAGTGGGAAACGCGTGTTGGAACTCGGAGCTGGAACTGGGCTCAGTGGCCTGGTGGCTTTGAAGTGTGGTGCTCAAGCAGTGACATTCACGGATCGCGATTCTGTGGCCCTGGAAAACGTGGAGTCTTCCGCGAAAGAAAACTGTTTAGAAGAGTCGTCATTCACCGTGAAAACGTTGAACTGGGGCGTGATTTCCCCGGGATTGCTGCGAGATTTCGAAGGATTCGATTTCATTCTTGGGGCGGATTGCTTTTTTGATCAGACCGTGTTTCTGAAGCTGATTGTCACTGGTGAGTGTTGTACGAAGAGTATTCCAAGTCCGTGTGGGGTTGAATATTTTCTGGGGCAATTCGCGAGTTTCAATCCAATTTTATTTTTGATGATGTAGTATCTGTTCGATTCTTGATCATTTTTTGAAAATGTGGGATGTTTTTCAGCGCACTGCATGATGAAATCTAACTTTCCAGGTATGGCCGAAGCATCACATTCTTTTTAATAAAATTATGGAACTTTGTCGTGGAAATCAGCCAAAGCAATTTATAATAGTTTTTCCTGATGTCTCATGCATTATTCAGAATTTTGGAATATTTTCCAATGTGCTAAATAAACGAAAATGCCATGTTCACTTGAGCTCCATGCCCTTGACCTTGAGTCCTTGAGTAAGGCACGTATCTGAATTTTTCTGCATAAAATTTGGATCAAAACGTATTTCCGAGTAAGATTCGTACCCCATTTTAAACAGACTGAGAATTGAAGTAATTTGGAACTTGGAAGTAAAAGGCATCCGAAGTTGAATTTTGACTTTAATTATATTCAAATCGGATGTTGAATTTTCAAAATTTTTAAGTTTTCAAATTCCCTTTCGGAATCAAGGAAACAGTACTGTATCTTGAACAAAAGGAAAATCTTTTTATATGTCATACCTGCTTTTGGTATCCACCCTCATTTTTCCTCTTAATTAAAAATAAATACGCATGGTGCTTGAGTAGGGTGCGGAGAGTCAAAATAAATACTAATAGCATACAATACAAAAAAGATTACTGTACTGAATCATGACTCAACTTGGGGTAATTTTTTTCGAGAATTCTTAATACAGTATTTTTTTTCAGTTGCCTATTTATTGGTGCAAAATCCTAGCGCAGTGTTCATCACATCGTATCAAGTTCGAAGTGCAGATTGGCAAATTGTTGACTTGCTGACGCACTGGAAGCTGAAGTGCGAAGCGATTCCATTGACAGATTTTGGAGGCGACAAAGAATCCCTTGGAGAGACGGACATCATTGGCACGCAACAATTTCAACTGCTGATTATTAGTCCAGCATGATGGATGGTAAGTTCATTCAATTCCCTCAGTTTAAACGTGAGTCAAGTAACATGAATGAAGAGGAATCTGCAGATATTAATGCCGACTTCAATCTGGCGTCTCAGTACGTTCGCACGTTGTCATCCCTGTCAGTGGAAAAGATGCTGGAATTCTACGGTTTGTTCAAGCAAGCGAAAGAAGGGCCTTGTAAGATTCCCAAACCCGGCTTGTTTGATTTTGAGGGCAAGAAAAAGTGGCAAGCCTGGAAAAACGTCGGTGATTTGTCTCAGGATGACGCGAAAGCCCGTTACATTGACGTTTTGGACAATCTGGAGCCCGAATGGCGGGGTAAAATGGAGACGGGGAATGTGGCCAAGAAACCCGCGGGTTAGTTCGGCTGTTATTTTTTTTTTTCGGCCAGTTCTCAGTTAAAATATCACTGAATGCTTGATGATCCCGATCACAACTTCTTGGTCGTTGTCATGCCCCCAGTTTATGTCGGCAATGGTTTTTGGTTCATGAGGCAGATGTCGCCTCTATTTTCAATCGGATGAGCAATCGATAATGCAGTGAGGCGACACCTATTGTATATATTTGAATCTGGGACGCACATATATTTTTCTTAATCGAAAATAACAGTTGAGCCTGCAAATGCTACGTAGGGCTATATAGAATCTTCCTGTGTTGAAAACCCGAAATCGACGAGCTTCAAACTTGGGAAAAAGAAAGTAATGAACAATCAATTTGAGTTTTGTATTTAAGGAGCATTTTTTCGTCTTTGAGTTACTTGCTAATCTCTGTTTTTAGTTGAAACTGGCTTAGTTTTTATCGCATGTTCCTCAGTTTTTTCGAGAGTGCTTGAAAAATGTAAGTATACGAAGTATTTTATCCACGTTCAATTCGGATTACTTGTGTGATTTTTACCTATGATGTGTTTCAATGTACGTCTTTTCAACTTCCTCGAGGAAATTATTTGTATATAAGTTTTCATGTAAAAAAAAAAATCTTGCGACTACAAATCACATGTTGTCCTGTGCGCCTGAAAATATCCTCTCACCCCATTCATTCGTGAAAGTGCAATGCACAAGATATTTGAAAAATTGTCTAAAAATGGATGTTTTTGTTCGAGTGTTTCGCTTATACTGTATGACCATTTTTACTCGTAAACTCGTAAGATATCCTATCAAAACTTAATGCTCCTTATTTTTTGTGCCAGGTTTTGGCGTATCTGTGAGTTCAATGTACGCCAAAGAAAAGGAGAAGGACTCTTCCTCCGACACCAGTTCAACACTTCACGATTTCATAGTCTCGGGATCTGTGGACAAAGCAAAAGATTTGTTGAATTCTCCGGACGCCGCCATGTTGGTTGCAGCACGGGATCCGGATTCAGGCCTCACCCCATTGCAAATGGCGGCGGATCGTGGCCAAGCCGTCATTGTGGCAGCCATTTTGCGTGTGCCTGGCGTAGACGTGAATGTTGCAGACGCGGAAGGACAAACAGCGTTGCATTATGCTAGTTCCTGCGGACACGGAGAAGTTGTTGATTTGTTGCTGGCTGCAGGGGCAGACACGGGAGTCAAGGATAATGATGGGTTGGGTCCTGTCGACGTGGCTTTTGATGATGATGTGGCCAGGCGATTGAAAAGATCTTCGTGACCCGAAAGGCGCTGTTTTGGAATGCACTAAGAATGAAATTTCCGCAAGCGTATTGTTTTTTTTTTCTTCGTGAATTACCCATTTTATATTTTTATTCAGCGCTTTTGAGCGATGAAACAGGAGAGAATTGTTTCCTTTTATGTGCTTTCAGCAGAAAAAATTGTTTTCTTCCAAGAAAATATTGAGGAAAAATGTTTGTATACGGTTGGTAGTTCTTTCAATAAACTTTTGATTAATTTCATTACGTCCAATTTCTGAAATGAACTTTGTTGAGCACGGTATAAAGCCTAAGTGAAATTAAGAAACTTTCTTCAATTATGACTGTTGTTGTTCTGGGAGAGAAAAAAAAACGCGAATGTTGCTCATGTGGATTTTTGCACGAAGAAATGTCTCAATAATGAGAAAATTCGTGAAAGGAAAAAAGTAAAAGTTTGTCTTTCATGCACTTTTTGTCCTAGGTTTGTCTATTTTTGTGTGTGTGGATAATAGTGCAATTCCGGCTCATTTTCATGGGTTGTCTTTATTCATCTTTCTCTATGCAAAAAGGCTCAAATTATTTATTGGGATACAATTTTATTCAGAGGTTTTCAAATAACGAGGTTTGACTTAGCAAGGCGTAAGTGTATCAATAACAATTTTTCAGGTCAGGTATTTGCTGTAAAACAAACTTCTATACACTGCGTCACCATTTCCGACGATGAATCCGTGCAAATTTGCGACCACTTTTTCAAATGATGCATTGCATCAAATTGATGAAAACTTTGATCTTTTTATTGAGTAGAATGATGCAATTCACAGCAGGAGAGCTCAAATAAGATCTTACTTCTGAACAGACTCAGCATTGTTCAATATCTGTAAAAACACTTGAGTTTGGCAATTACAGAGAGAAATTCCTCTTCCAGCGCAGCTATTCAGCTGTCGCAAAAACAAAATAATAGTTTCTTGAGCCATTTTTCACCCAGTTCATTGAATTCAAGGTACAGTACTGAAAGTGCTGTACGTCCCTCTTCCTCGAATCCGAGAATAAGTGGACTTTTGGAACAGTTATTGTGTCTGAATGCCATCCATCTGAAAGATCTGTACTGAAGGGTTCCTTGTGTTTTGGGATTGATGATGGGAGCCTTTGTTCAGCATGACTTAATCTGAAAGAGAAAATGTCGCAGGATATTCTGGTCTGATGTTTGAAGGATGTCTGCGCCGTGTGTGCCAAAATGATGCGGAATATTGTTGATTAGACGCTTTTATGATGGATTTTTCATGATTCTATCTGAATATAAACCAAAGCTTTGGGGTGGAAGGAGAGGATGGAAAATGTATTACAGTTTGCATATACTGTATTGTACTGCAATCAGGTTTTGTGGTGTACCAAGGAAAGGTAATCTCTCACGCATTGTATTCATTTTTGAAATTGTTGAAAATATGTGAAGAATAATTGATGTCGCAGAATCACCATTATTGGTAAATAAAATCAGGAAAGGGCATTGATTCTGAGCAACACATTGCAATGAACAAGAATAAATGTACTTCTGAATTTTTTTATGGTCGATTTTTGCCCAGAATATTATGCTCATCCTTGGCACGTCATAACGACGAAAAAAGAATTGACATCGTACGACACCTATCATAGAAATCAACGTTGGATCAAGGGATGATATCTCAATTCCGACAGATGTCAGTACATCAAAAGTTGGCTGCAACTGGCAATTACTGTACATTGCAGTATATACGCACCTTGATTAATTCCGTGTACATTACAGTACGGTACCGAGTTTTGTCCTGCGATGGGCGGCGTTTGATGAAGTAAATTGATTCGTGTTCAAGTTATTAAAACGTCCACTCTTCGAAGCATCAGTCGTCATCTATAGAACCTTTATATTATGACAAGCTGGGGGTGCCCAGCCACACCTGGGCATTAGACACATTTTAGTTTTGAAAACTTGGATGTACTACAGAAATTAATATGTGGGAGAGGGGGTGCCCACATGCAACTGTTTATCATGTTACAAATTATGCAAAGAACTTGAAAAAAAATTTTGATTAAAGTTGGTTAACTGGTGAAGGACCACCAGTAATCTTGTACTTGTGCTCAATGTGTCAGTTGTGGCCCTGTGGGCCACAACTGGCACATGAGCAGGGGGGTTTTATTACTTGTTACAATCCCAACTTGGAGTGCCCAGCCAAACATGAATGTATGATTGTTACATGATGTAAATGAATTTTAAAAAATTGAATGCTGAAAGCTGGTAATGTGCCAAGAAGCATCAGTTTTATGCACATTGCCAGGTGTGCTACCACTAATGATTCCAACTTGAAATTTTTGACAGGGCTGTGTGCACAAAGATGTTCTTAAAAATCAACTCTTTTTCAATTTGTAATGTCGAAAATTGATCAAGCAAAAAATGAAGAAGTGAAACCCCCCCCCCCATGATTTTTGCACTTTAAAAAAAAGTTTTTGCGTTTTTGTCTATAGCTCATTCAATTTTGAAGATTTTTGAAAATTGCATATACAGTAGTGAGATTTGAAAAACATCTGGGTGCTTGCAACATTGTAAGAAATTTGAAGATTGAGTTGAAATTGAATTTTAAACAGATTTTGTAAGTTGGCAAAACAGGAAGAGATGCATATCCAGGAATTCAAACTTTTCTGTTTAGCTCATTATAACTTTTAGGATTCTGATGCAATTTCAAATTTTTTGACAGGGTTACATGCACACAGATGTTTTATGATTTTACATATTTTTATGTCTGAAAAATGTTGAAAATTGAATGAGTAAAAATTATAAATACAAAATCTTTTTTCCCAATTTTCATACAATTTTCATAAATGTTTTTGCGTTTTTGATTCTATCTCATGCAATTTTGAAGTTTTTCAAACATTTCAAAAAAGGAAATGTTGAAAACTTCATTGCGCACATAACCCTTGAAACAATTTGGAAATTGCTGAATAATTAAAATTTTGACAAATTTTTAGAGTTAGCAGAACAGGAAACGGAATTTTCAAAAATGTCCGTTTTTTTCAGTTTAGCTCATGATAACTTTTTTGTTATAAGTGGAATGTTAATAATATTTTAGGGGTGATTGGGCATAGATGTTTTTCGAATTTAGGTATTTTTTTCATTGAGCAAAACCAAAAACTTGAAAAGCTAAAATTAAAAATGTAAAAGTATTTTTTTCCGTTTTATCCCCGTTTTTGAAAAACGTTTTGCGTTTTTCATTGTAACTTTGTCAATTTTGGAGCTTTTTTAAAATTTGAAAAAGGGAAAGACAGCAAACATCTTGGCGCTTCTTTTAAAGTTTTAAAAAGTGCATTTTATCAAAAATTGAATTTGTAACAATTTTTAAAAGTTAAATAGGACCCTCCTGCAGGCCTCTCTGGGGCTCTGTGGGAGGGAGGTAAGGCGCTGGAAGGAAGGGAGGGCCTGTGAAAATTAAAAAAACTGCGAACCGAGGACGGCAAGTAACTTTATTATAGTAGATAGAATGTGTAAAATAAACCGATCAATCAACATGAATTGTTTCTGATGGTGTATACTTCATAGAAGTAGCAGTTTGAGCAGCCTCGGGTACGCGGATGAGTTCGCGGACAGACGCAGTCACACACACACGAACTGGTGACAAATGGCGGCGTTCATGCCGAGACTTTGACTTATGGATTTGCGCTTGCTGCTGTGTCCTTCATTACTCTTGATTTGTGAGTTGGAACCCTATCCTTTATTTTTTTTCTCGCCACTGCTTGTCTATCTATTATAGACGTCTTCTCGCGGCCCCGGAAACCCCTGGCAATATATATATACTTTCATGGGTCGACGGTAGCACAAGTGTTCTTGCTGCAGATATGAGAGGAACGAATTCACGCTTCTTGTGCGGAAATTGGCCAAGTTTTTGGCACATGACGGCCCAAAGGTTAGGTGCAGTGAAGTATAGAAGACAGGAGAATTCATTTCCTATCTTCATCCTCGCCAAGAAAAACTTTCGTGAATCATTTTTCCTGTGGAGGAAAATAAGTGGTGCAAAATATCTCAACTTCTTGATGGCTTATATAGTAGCTGCAGGCACGATTAATAGATTGTTATTATAAATATATCTTGAGTTTTGAACCCTTGAAAATCCGATTGTAGATGATTATATGATTAGATCATAAAATAGCTAATTAATTAATGATGAAAAAATGAATTAAGATTGTTCAGCATGGCCAGGAATAGAAAAATCAACTTCACAAGTGAGGACGCATATGGTGGCTAAACTCTCCATCACCACCCAAGTGGGGAGTTATTCTTTGTGTGACCCCACAAATGGTGCATGCTGGGGTCACAATTGGTGTACATGGGCTATTCTGGGGTTGCAAGCATGCACCTCTGTAGACAAAATTTTGCTACCATTCCTGGGTTACATTTGGTGCACAAATGTGATATAACAGGGGTATCACACAAATGCATCAACTGTAACCTTGGTGTAACTTATTTGTTTACAAATGTGACCCTGAGTAATCCTGGCGTGAACACACAATTGGTGCACATTAGGGATATGCATGTGCAACAGAAAAACTTTGGTCCACTTCAGGTGCACAGCAGGGTCACTGTGCAGAATTACAAACATATCCCCAGTGTGCACCAATTTCCCCACTTGGGCACTTCAATTCTTGAAGGATGCTTAATTTCAGAATACTTCCTAAAGCAGAGTCCGCTGTCTGCAGCAGAGGCAGATCACTCTCAGTCCATTATGTGGACCATAATATATAGAATGCAGATAAGCCACCTGGCTCATCTGACCTCAACTGAAGTTTTTCCTATGAGCATTTCCAAAATTTAGTTTTGAAAAGCTCACCAAAAGGCCTCTTCCAAGGCTGAGGAAATTGTCACAAATTCTTCCATTTTTGTTCCGTTTTCAGCTCATTGCATATACAGTGGGCCCCCATCTTACGTCATCAATCCGTTCCAGGATGGATGTCATAACATGGGACCGTCGTAAGTTGAAACCCTATTTCCCTTAAGGTTACATTATGAAAAAATTAATTCGTTCCAGAAAAAAATACTGTACATTTTTTGGCAATAAAATACTGCAATTTAATGTTCAGCTGAATATTATATTCACTGTCTGCAGCAGAGGCAGATCACTCTCAGTCCATTATGTGGACCATAATATATAGAATGCAGATAAGCCACCTGGCTCATCTGACCTCAACTGAAGTTTTTCCTATGAGCATTTCCAAAATTTAGTACTGAAAAGCTCACCAAAAGGCCTCTTCCAAGGCTGAGGAAATTGTCACAAATTCCTCCATTTTTGTTCTGTTTTCAGCTCATTCATATACCTCATGCCTTAGAGAATAATTTGTTACAAAAACTCCTGTTTTCCCCCTTATTGGGAGAATTAGTGAAACATAACTACTGTATCTCCTTTTGTAAACTTGAATCACCTGCGCTAATCAACCAACTGAAATCTTACAAAAACTAGCCAGATCTATATACTTCTATGTAAATTGTACATCAAAAGAGACGGTATCTTGAAGATTCCTTCAATAAACATGCTGAAAATTTAGATATAGCTCAACACCGCGGCCCTTTATGGAATGTAAAACTCAAAAACTCAATGAGAAGAAAAAGGAAACGACTGAAAAATTAGCTACAGTGTATATATTGATTTTAAAAAAAGCCACAAAAATGATGGACTTGGTAAGAAGAAAAACAAAAGGTTTTGCTGAAGAATTCAGTGCAGATTGCATATAATACCTGCTGAGAACACATTCAGCAGGAAATATTGTCGCCCTGAGAAGTTTCTGCAGGTTTTTCTTTTTAGGCACAATATTTGGAATTTTCGAAGTTCCCTACATCATTTTCTCTTTCCCCCAAAATTTTCTGCAGCAATCTCAACAATTTCCTCCAGCATGTACCAGAAAAACATCTTCGTTATACATCTTGTTGTACATTGTTCAAAGGCAGATGTTCATCACCTGCTGTTTCCA